TCTTCAGGATCAAAAGAAGCACTCAGCTGAAGAAATTGATGAATGCTTATTGTGACCGACAGTCTGTGGATTTCAATTCAATTGCCTTCTTGTTTGATGGTCGTCGTCTTAGAGCAGAACAGACTCCAGATTAGGTCCCTCTCTCTCTCTCTCTCTCTCTCTCTCTAAATGCACACACACGAAAAGAATACCAAAAGAGGGTTGTGCATCTGTTGATGTTGTTGTCCTTGACAATTGTGATTAATTTATTTTTCTTACAAATTTCCTCCTTTTTGCAGCTGGAGATGGAAGATGGTGATGAAATTGATGCAATGTTGCATCAAACCGGAGGCACAACTCTTTGAGTCTCCCTTCTCTTTTTTTTCTGTGGATGTAAGACTTATTGTGTTTCAAGATGGTATTGGACTTAGTGAAATGCTGGTTGGCAGCTTTAGGACCTTTAGAGTGTAATGAATGGGATCATGTTTGCTTACTTTATATTGAACTTAATCGCTAATATAACTTGACATGAAAGTCATTACTTGCTTCACCTTTCAATTTTCTGAAGATGACATGAATGCAGAGTCTCGGTTTCATGTAAATAACCTTCCCAACCCTCGGAAAAGATCAGAAGCTTGGTGACGAAAAAAATTCATGTGCAGCCAGCTTGCACCTCGTATGTGATCACAGTTTGGTCCATTACCTCTAGTTTAACATCTGTGTATGGTTTCTGTCTTACTGGTAGTTTTTTTTTAGAATCAACCCCCAATGTTTTAGTCAAGTGGTAAAAGTGCAACATGTGATGTATTGGTTAAGTGCATGTTGTGTGAGTTCGAATCTTGGTGCTAACAAAAAGCCCGGTATTTAAGGGGTAGAAGAGTAGATGTATGGACCAGTTGTCACAGAGTATCGAATCATTGTATTGCCTGTCCATGGGAGACGAAGGACGGTGATCTTCCATGCCAGCATGACGCCACGCTAATGTCACACCAAAGAGAAGCATGGGCAGCTGAGTAATATTTTTAGCTACATGGGCAAAGGCAAATCATTTGGACAATTGTTTGTACCATGTGGGAAGTTTGTGCATAGTTTCCCTTGATTTTTAGTGCAGTCAAAGAAAGGACTCAACTTTGAAAGATAAACATGCTGCCAAATTAATTGGTGGTGGTAAAAAATAATGGGAAAAAGGACGAATTTACCCCCGAACTTTGATAAATGGTACGTCTATGTCCTCCGTTATACTTTGGGTCCATCTCAGCCCCTGCCGTCCAATTATCGGTACACACATGCCCCTCTCACTAACGGTCCCCTCATCCTATACACGTGTCTTAATCCTAATTAACAACCCGTTTGACCATTATTTTTAACTCATAAACTAACAACCCGCCCCATAAACCCATACCCACCCGATTCCCTCTAAAATATCCTAAGTCAATTAAAAGACCCAAATCTTCCGGGTCTCTCGTTCCTATCTATAATGCATTGTTAAACAAAATTAAATACAATTCTAATACAAAATTTATCCATTACAAATTTCTATTTTTTAAGGGAAAAAGGACAAATTTACCCCCGAACTTTGATAAATTGTACGTCTATGCCCTCCGTTATACTTTGCGTCCCCATAAGCCCCTGCCATCCAATTATCGGTACACACATGCCCCTCTCACTAACGGACCCATTGTTTTGTACACGTGTCTTAATCCTAATCAACTACCCGTTTGACCATTCTTTTAACCCATAAACCCACAACCCGCCCCATAAACCTAATAACCCACCTCTTCTTTCTCTTAAACTGTCAATGCACCACCACCGGAGACAAATCTCCGTCCACCTTCCTCTTCCTTCCTTTTGGTCCACCGATCAGAATCGGAATTAACCGTTTGACCCAAAACTCCCTCTCCTATCAAATCTTCGACCAGAAGAGGGTATAAAAGCTTTATTCGCTGCCTAATTATCAGATTCATCAACTTTAGACTGGGAATCGGAAAAAAAACCTCCCCTTTCACCTCTCTCCACCTTCTTTCAAAACCATTACCAGCCGATGTTTTTCTTAGCTGCACCCCCAATCATCAGTCTCGTCGGCACGAGAGGGAGCCATTTCCCTATTAGTATCCCTTCGGAACCCTCCCTGCCTACGAGAATCGTCCGACGAACCCCTTCCCCCTTGCCTGTCGTAACCGTACGAACAGAATAGTACTGATTCAATTAAAATAATAAACCTAAGTCAAGTTGCATAATTATATATTGTATTTTTAAATCAGGTATACTGTACAACTTTAATCAGTAATTGAATAATTTAATCTTGCATTTTAATAATGTATAAATTAATCAAGTGTATGTTAGTTAAGCATCAATAGTTGTGAAGGTTTGGAAGACAGAAATAAATTAACATAGCTCAAGATGAACAACGCCAAGAAAATATTAAATTGGAAAGGGTAATTAAGGAATTCCAAAGTGTAAAAGAATTGAAGCCCTAGAGAATGTAGCATCAAAACTTCCTCTGGTGTCAAGCCTTTGGTTGCCACAGTGGCGGCAGTTTGAGATTGCTTAGCAGCGCTACAAGTGCTGAACTCTTGAAGGGATAGGGTTTATGGCTTCTTCTTCTTCGTTTTGGTGGTGGCGGCAGCGGCCAAAGATGGAAAATCGACAAGGCCACCGGCACCCGCCACCATTGGAGTGATTTTCAACCTTCACTGACTCTTCCTTTGGAATGTTTAATTAACTTAGATATTTTAGAGGGAATCGAGTGGGTTATTGGGTTTATGGGGCGGGTTGTGGGTTTATGGGTTAAAAGAATGGTCAAATGGGTAATTGATTAGGATTAAGACACGTGTACAAAACAATGGGTCCGTTAGTGAGAGGGGCATGTGTGTATAGATAATTGGACGGCAGGGGCTTATGTGGACGTAAAGTATAACGGAGGGCATAAACGTACCATTTATTAAAGTTCGGGGGTAAATTCGTCCTTTTTCCCTTTTTTTTAAATTAGTAGTTTTGAAGCTAAAACTTACAACAAAAAACAGCTACTGAATTACACAAAATGGGAAACAAAATTAGATATATGAACACATAGTTACGATCCTCCTCACTAATAACAACAACATAAAGAAGAAAAAAGAAAAATAAAATTCGATTTTTTCTTCGATTTTTTTTTAAAACTAAGGGATAATAAATAGATATAAAAACTAAAACGATGGAACGACGCCTTATGATGCATCGACGGCGATGAGTGAATCGATTTCAATTTCAGTACGTTTAGCGAATCTCCATTTGATTCTGGGTCGAGTCTCAGCATAAGCTTCTCTAGAAGCATATCGAATCGTCTTTTCGAACTTTCTATTCTTCCTCTTCTCTCTATACCTCATTACCCTTGCTTCTCTGTCTAAACCGGAAATTGCATTCGGCAGAGCGTTGACATCCGCACCGGCTGATGAGTTCATCACAAAAGTGTTTGATATATCCGTCATTGCACTGTGGTCCGGTACAACTCCGACGTCAAGAGATGATGATGAAACCTATTAGTTAAACAAAAGCAAAATGAGATCGATTCACGTGAAGGAAGAGGAAGAAGGAAATAGACGAGAGAAGATACAGATGCATACACTTTGGCTAATGGATTGAGAGGTGAAATTGTACATGTAAGGTTTAGATCCAGCGAAATCGATTTCGTAGGTAGGGAATCCATCAACGACTGAACATGGTAAATGAGTACTTGTTTCGTTGTTGTTTTGCACCGGCACAACTCCGTCGGAGCTGTAATCCCTTCTTTCGGTGTCGGAAGGATCCACGACGCTGATTCAGCTTCTTCCTTCGGTTGAGAAAGATTCTCATTAGTACTATCAAAGTATTCTCATCATCAACAGCATCAGCATCAACATCATTACCGCCGTGAGATTTCTCACCAGTACTATAAAAGTACTACTCAATTCTCATTTTTCAACTCTATTGTGAGAGGAACGAGAGACCCGGAAGATTTGGATCTGTTAATTGATTTAGGATATTTTAGAGGGAATCGGGTGGGTATGGGTTTATGGGGCGGGTTGTTAGTTTATGGGTTAAAAATAATGGTCAAATGGATAGTTGATTAGGATTAAAACTCGTGTACAGGATGAGGGGGCCGTTAGTGAGAGGGGCATGTGTGTACCGATAATTGGACGGCAGGGGCTGAGATGGACCCAAAGTATAACGGAGGGCATAGACGTACCATTTATCAAAGTTCGGGGGTAAATTCGTCCTTTTTCCCAAAAATAATTTCTAAAGAAAAGGACATTAAAGTTGGATCAATCTTTCAAAGTTTATCCAGTGACCACAATTTTCCATTGTTTCACTACTAAAGGAAATAGTTATCCCATGATGTCCAGCCAGCTTTCAATACTTGCATTCGTTCTAGTAACAGCATTCCCACTTTTATTATCACTTCTGGTACTGGTAGGGCCACTTCCAACGCGGTACTCATACCAATTTAAACTGACCACACCTGAATTGAACCCTCAAATTCATACGCGTTTCCATTTCATTATATCCATGCATCTTTGATATGTTTGGTTCTTCCACAAAAAAATTGTGGTTCACCTCTCTCTCTATCATATCATCATATCATATATTATTATAAGTGGGAAGAGCTTAACTTCAAGAGTTGAATTACGAAAATATCCCTATATTAAATTAAAAAAGTAATAAAAATTAATTAATTAAATAACAATCATATAGCATATTATTATATTATTATACTAATGCTAATCATCATATACCTACTTGTTTGTTTTCTCCGTTTGTTGGCTTCTCATTTCCTTCCTAATCTTAATTATTCTCTCTCTACTTATAAATATTCACCTATTGTTATAATAATTATAATAAAGAAGGGGAATGAAGAGTTGCAAGGTAATTAATTATGAGAGAAATGTTCACTTTATTGCTATATAATTATGATAATAAAATATAAAGAGAACGAAGAGTTACAAGGGTAATAAATTTTGAGAGCTATAATATAAAATAAAGAGAATGAAGAGTTGCGAGGGTAATAAATTTGGAGAGCTATATATAATATTTGTGTAGCAAAGAGGTGGCCAGCCGATGGTCATTATTTTTGCAAAAATGCATGATTATTAAATAAAATTTTCATTTTTCTCTAAATACATTAGTTGATTACTTATTACTTTCATTGTATTTTTTTGCTTTTTACAGAAGAAAAATGTGTATAAGTTCTAAAAGTTCATACGGAGCATGCAATGATGGAAATGGATATTGAAAATTTTCACGGAGGTTGAAATCCATCTATTCACAAAGTTAGTTTTTAACATTATCTAATATATTTTCATATTTTGAGAAAATTCTCTTTTAATATTTAGTTTTTAGGTAATTGTCGGAGGAATTCAAATCGGTGCTTTCACTGATTTACATACTTTGGGTAAGTGAATTGAACTCTCTTCTTCCTTTCTTTGTCATTTCACATAATATAATATATATATATAGTCGTTGCTTTTCTTTCTTCCATTTAATTTTTCACCTTATTTTGTTAGAGCTTAATTTTTCATGTTTCAGACCTGACCTAGCTATCATCTTTGGAAGAAAATTATTCTAGATAATAATTATGACCATATCTAACTATTATGTTGTTTACCTCATTTTGCTCCAATATTACTTTTTTGGTTCCTTTACACTAGATCTTCTAGGTACAGAAGAAAAAGAATATCATTGTCTTTTTAGAACTGTTAGGGATAGTAGCATTAGTGTTGCATTTGGATCGAAGACGTCATCATATGTGATAATATTGATAGATAGAGAATGAATATTTGGAAGACAATAGATTTTATCACTATGTATGGATTAGAATGAAATAAAAATATATACTCTTTTATACACTAATAATTTTTATATTTTATTTTTTATTCTAATTGATGTAGATGAAGGATACATGTCTGTTGAAGGTGTTTGGAAATGTTCCAAAAATTTAAAATTTTGTTTTATTTCATGTAAATTGGTTCCTTTGTAAGTGATTTTTATATTTATTCTTAAAATTTTCTTTTTATGTTTTCAAATTGGATATGGGATCTATGTGTAAAGTGCATAATGAGAGATTATTGAGGATAAGTTATATCGACATATTCATACCATTACATGTTATATTATCTTAATTAGCTTCACATTTCTTGCTTGATGGCAAATGCAACATTCCACTGTTATGAATTAAAAAAAAAAAAACATTCCACTATTATGAATTTTATTTAATGAATATGATGTAAATGATAAAGTTAATATTGTTAATTTCAATATTTTCTATATAATAATTTAATAATATGGGATAAACGTGCAACGCACGTTCCTAAGGACTAGTTATACTATAAATGGGAAGCTCCTAACCTCAAAGTTGAATTACAAAACTACCCTTCACTATTTTTTTTATTAAATAAATAATAAAAAAGTTAATTAGACCAAATACATGGTTAGCTGTTAGAGTTTATCATTTCTTAATGAGGCTTTAATTGTTATCCTTTGAGCTTCTTCCGTTTACACTCATTCCAACATTAGTTTAATGCTTCACATTTAAGTTATGATTAAGTCAGAACATGGCCATTCACTATTTGTTTAGTTATTAAGATTGATTCTACCTTTCATTTTCCGCATTATTCTTTCGTCTTCCGCATTAATAATTTTCTCTTAAAACCTTTTTTTATTCTTTACATTGCAATACTCTATAAAAGCTTACAAGTTGTCTTTGCCCTATTATTCTATTTGTGTTCTATCGGTCAGAAATTCTACTTTTTCAGGGATATCTATGATTTATATGTATCTATATGTGGTTTAAATCTCATTCTTGAGATGGTATATGTTATTTAATATTAAAAAATAATTATCTTTTACGTCGGAATTATTTGTCCCAATGAATGATTTAGTAATGTACAATACATTTTTCACTGAATGTTATATTTTTAGCAGGTCATTCATTAAATGATTTAAATGAATATTCTTTTATTTTTTTAATTGCTTTTAATAAAATTTTATACAGCAAATTTAAGTTAAAAAATTAATTAAATAGGTCAAATGACTTTGTAAGTAAAATACTTATAGTTGAGTGATTTTGTAAGTAAAACACTCATAATTGATTGACTTTTGAGTTAAAATTCAAAGTTGAGTGACTTTCTAAGAAAAGAAGTCATAGTTGAGTGACTTTCTGGAAATTTTTTTTATAGTTGAGTGACTTTAGAGAATAGTGCATAATTAATATTATGTGGTTTTGAGTAAGATTTTATTAATCTAACTTAATATTATATAATTTTTCATTGAAATTTTTTGTTGTTTGTATTCTTACTTTATAATGGTCTATGACTTTGTGTACATCCTACCTTCTTGAAACTTTACTTGTAGGATTACATTAATCACTATGTTATAGGTATTCAATTTATGTATGACAACTAAAAAAATCTCGCAGTGAAATTTGGCTATAGGCCCCCAAACTTGTTAAGACAGCTCTGCAGGCATGTTTTCTTAGAATTTTGATTGTTCTTATGAATCTATAAAAATTTACGTGGGACACACGTGCAACTTAGAAAGTAGCATAGTTATATGTATGGATAATGCTAATTGATTTGTAAGAAGAACACATCCTGTTATTTGCTGAAAACAAAGAAACAAAAATGGTTAGTTTCTTTTTCTTTTATTCATTTCTCTGTTTTGTGTTGTTAATAAGTGGATGCTTTTGTTCTTCCTTTGATCATCATCTTTGCTCTCCCACTGAAGCTTCTGCTTTGCTTCAGTTTAAGCAATCCTTTAAAGTTATTTTACCTTATTTTAAATATATATTTTCACTTTTTAAGAGTTAAATCAAATGAACTTTAGCCAACATTTAAGATATATTTTTTAACCTTATTGATATGGCATGAAATGATTAGCATTTATAATGCTACGACTAAACACAAGTGGAATAAAATTTCAAAGAGCAACAATAAATGGGTGGGCACCAACAAATTCAACTGGGCACTCTGGGTGGGGGAATTAAAATTGTGTTCAAGTGGTATGAAAAATGGTATGCAAGATAAATGGGTGGGCAGTGGGGTGAGTGGTGTTAGATGTAACTGGAAAATAATAGTTAATATTATTTACAAGAAACTTTTAAAGATTTATTAGAATATCTTTCTGCGGATTTACTTGAGAATAAATTGGAAAAAATTTGGGATGTTTTTGGTGTTTTTTGCAAGAAAATTCGCAAGTTATTTACCTGCGATATTTAAATCCCTAAATAAATTACTTGGGGATTTTGAAATTCACAGGAAATAATTACCTACGAAGGTTTTACCTTCGAATTCTTTTTGATAGAAAAATCCGTAGGAAACATATTTTCCTATGAATTTTCATTAATAATCCCCAGAAAAATCCCAATATATAATTCACATTTTTTCTGTAGTGGTCTACGAAAACAGCCGCTCTACTACTTTAGTTATTCTCCATCTCTTCATGTTTGAACTGTATCATATAGATGGAGTTTCCCTCTTTAACTAAATGTGAAATGTCTTGGAAAACAGCACAAGAGACAACTAATCGGAAATTTCTCATAAAATTTCTAATTATGCAGGAAATTAAGACACACATCAAACAAAATTTTGAATAAAAAGCAAATAAAAGAATAAAAATAAAATTCAACGCGGTATTATTGTTCATTGTTTTCCTCACTTGACTTAGTCAAGAAATAGTTTCTCTCATTGAAAATTTCTTAGAAGTTCTGCAGAAATTTTTTCCACATAATGGGACCAACTTCACATCATCTTGCCTAACACACACTGCATCAATAGTTAATGAGCTCGAAATGAACTCAACATCTAGAGAAAATTAGGACATAGAGAGTATTATTTTGTTAAGTCTTTTCCGTCCTCTAAAAAGTCTTGTGGAACACTACAAAATATGAGTAACAAGTTGTTAGAAGTGAGTAGTACTCATCCATGGACCACAAGTTACGTAGTTGGTGATGCGAAAGTGGTACTATCTACCAACACTTACTTAAAGACTTGAGTTAACACTTGGGACAACTTTTTTTGCAACCACAAATTAGTTAGTACCCCATTTTATACCTCATAGTCCCATGCATAGACAAGTCAACAACGTTACTTTATCAAATAGTGTTTAGTTAACTGTTCGTTGTAATAATTAAGAAATAAAATAGTGTTTAGATAATTATAACATTCTTTCTTACATGACTACTTATTTTATTGACTTATTTATATATTGACGATCTTCATGAACCCATATTATTATTTTTACCTTTTAATTCCTATTACTATTTTTATTTATTAATTATTGAATATTCTAAAGCCTACCAAACAGTAAAACCTTTTGCATTATGCAAAATAAATTGTTGGGTGTTAAAAAAAAAGATCTAATTTGTTTTTTGGTGTATTCTTTGAATTACAATCACTGCAATAAACACTACAACAAAAACAACTTTTAGCGGCAATAAATATACACATTAATAGTTAAGTATCGTTAGATCCAATATCGCTAAAGGGTTTAGGGACATATGCAAGAGTGTAAATTGCCTTTAAAAATACATATTTAGCGGCAATTAAACTTAATTAATTGCCGTTAAAAACTTCGGATTCTTTTTGATAGGAAAATCCGTAGGAAACATATTTTCCTGCGAATTTTCATTAATAATCCCCAGAAAAATCCCAATATAATTCACATTTTTCTCAGGGCCGGCTCTTGCCTATAAAATTTTAGGCATCTCAAATTTTTATAAATAAAAAATTATGTATCTTAACCCCATTCAAATAGAAGAAATTAAGGAAACATTGTTTTGGATTCTTACATTTTCTTCGTTAACACTCACATTATTTATCCTTTGTAACTCTTTTTGCACTCTATTTCTTCAAATCTTTGATAGTTAGAGTAATACACTTTCAAAAATATGAATCAATAGTCGAAAAGTGTTGAACAAAGTGCATACTAAATTTTTTTAAAAAAAAATTTTAATTTTGTTAAATCTTCATAATTAAAGTAGGTATACCAAGTTATCAACTTTTTGAATCAGATTCTATGATTCTAACTCTTATCTTTAAAGTTTATCAACTTATTACTTATAAAATTGTGTTAATAATTCATATAATAATTGTCTCAATAAAAGGATGTTTTTTCAATGCTGAATTGATAAAATCTTACTTAAAACTAATAATTAAAAAAAAGTGTTTGAAAAATCATTTATATAAAAGATATTAAGTAGTAATTTACATCTAGAAATTTAGAAAAATAAATAGATATAGATAAAATTTATATAGATTTTTAGGCCTCTAATAAAAATTTCGCTTTAGGCCACAAATTATGTTGAGCCGTCCCTGATTTTTCTTCTTGGAAATTTCTCATAAAATGATATTCACCAAGTTATTCAAACACATGCTAATTATGCAGAAAATTAAGACACATATCAAACAAAATTTTGAATAAAAAGCAAATAAAAGAAAAAAAATAAAATTCCACACGGTATTATTATTCATTTTTTTCCTCACTTGACTTAGTCAAGCAATAGTTTCCGTCATTGGAAATTTCTTAGAAGTTCTGCAGAAATTTTTTCCACATAATGGGATCAACTTCACATCATCTTGTCTAACACACACTGCAGCGATAGTTAATGACCTCGAAATGAACTTTGTGATTCAATTTTTCTAAACTTTTTCTTTCTTCAACTTTGTGATTCAATTGTACATCAATCCCGATTATCATAATCTTTTTCCCCTTTGGCTTCAAGGCTTACAAGTCATCGTCCGCTAGTATATATATCTATGAGAACCCTTTTAATGTAAAAGCTCAAAAAAGTTGTATTATTGTTCTTGAAACCAAGTACTCTACCTATTAGACATGACAACTTCTCACAGTACCTTCCTTTACATTCTACTTGTGCTTCTTCTTTTTTCACTTCCATTCACAATTACATCATCAGCAACAACTGAAGCTGAAGCTCTTGTCAAATGGAAGATGAACTTATCTTCTGCTTCTTTCTTGGATTCATGGTCCATTTCGAATCTCGGAAACTTGTGCAATTGGACATCTATTGTCTGCAATGCTGGTGGAACAATTTCCGATATCAATCTTTCTGATGCAGGCCTCTCAGGCACTCTTGATCAGC